GCTGTTATACATAGTTTGGTGTATGCGCTTGGAACAGATGATAAATATGGTGTCTAATATTGTGTTAACCTGTGAAGAGATAGTAATACTATAAGTTACATTTTGTGAAAATGGCTAGATATCAGTATGCTACTGAAAGCAAAGTCACAGCAGGAACCCCAGTAAAAATTTTACACAGTTCCCATAACTCTACTATGACAACACATTGGGGTTGAACAGGTTTTTAATATTAATGTAGATTCAGTCACTCCACATATACGCATATTATCTGAGTGGAATTAGAAAACATAAACTGTATACACACCCAAATGCAAGAATGCTGTTGTCCCACTGGTTTTGCTGTTTGTAACTTTATGATATCATATCTTCATATCATAGACATGTCCTTGAAACAGTATATTCAAAACATATTTAATGAAAACTGTTAGAGCTGTTTCATAATTTGATAATGTTCGCTATGAAACCACTAGATGGCAGACCTTCACAGTGTACCCTTGTTTCACTTAAAGAGGACAGGCAGTGAAGATATTCTGCTGAAAGGGGATTTGATGCTCCAGGAACCTGTCCAACATTTAAGAGAACAATCTATGGCAGAAATGAAAAAGAAAATATTTGTGTAAGACAGGCCTATATACTGAGTTTTGACTTGAGAAATAAAAAGCTAATGTTTCAGCATTAAGTCAGCTGCTCTAATGATATTTCCTGATTTGCCTGCTGCATATGCAAACCACAGTTTGATTACCATTGTGATAATTAAAGATAACTACATTTAATGGTGGAGGGCTTTCATTTCAGCCTTGTGTGAAACATTTGGCTTAAACTAACTGTGTTGCATTAGCATATGTCCCTTTACCCAGGGATTCACAGAGAAAGTTTTATGGTCATCTTTTCAGAAAAAGCAGTGATGTGAAACTAGAAGGTCTTTGGCATCGATCTACTGTCCGTTTCCTTTGGATAGTCCTGTAGATTAAGTGCAACATAATAAGGTCATGTTGTGTGCATCAGCTTCCTCCAGGGTCCAGGGTATCCAAGGACTGTAGGGACCTTCTTTTGCGGCTGTTGGAGAGATCTCCAGATGCCCGGATTACCTTTGCAGAGTTCTTCACTCACCCTTTTGTGGATTTGGAGCACATGCCAAGTTCAGAGAGCCTAGGGAAAGCGGTAAGAGAATAAGAAGAAAGGGAAGTATACACGTGTGTAAGTAAGTTTGTGTTCATGCCTGCACTAGCAGTGCAGAGTAGTAGCTGTTTGCATTCAGTGATTCCATTTCCTGTTTCCTCTTTTCAGAAAGAGCTGGTCCTGCAGGCCGTTCAGAAGGACCAGGAGGGCGAGAGGTCGGCCGCTCTATCTCTGTACTGTAGTGCCCTTGAGCACTTTGTCCCCGCTATTCACTGTAAGAGCAACAGCCACTCTCATATCCTGTCTGTGACTTAAGCCCTTCACCGCCTTTTGTAAAGTAAATTTACTAAATATAAAACCAAAACATCTTTTCTGTCCGACCTCTCCAGATGAGACGGACCGACAATGTAAAGATGCCCTCAGGCAGAAGGTAGGCCTGAAGACACTCCCCCATTCACATTTGAAGTACTTTCTATTTTCTACTGGGTTTTTTACACTCCACTGGCTTTCACTTGGAATAAATTCTCCTCTATGAATACCATATGGTGTGAAAGGAGAGCATATGGCATGGTTGATGTGATTATGTTGAGTCAATATTAGAGGACTTCCCGCAGGTCAGCCAGTATGTGTCCAGAGCCGAGGAGCTGAAAGCCCTGGTGGCGTCAGACAACAGACAGACCTTTGAGGAGGCCCGGACCTCCAGGGATGTCCTCCGAGGTAAAGAACATACCTCAGTAGAGAGGCCGGCCACTACACATGGGCATCAGCCTTGTTTGGTCAGATGCTGTATGAGAGCACAAATTGCCAAATAAAATTTATGTTTTACTCAAATAATGAGGTTTTAGTAGTTTTTCATCTTTATAATTATTATTCCTGTAAGTACATACATCTTCAAAAATGAGCTGTTATAGTAATGGAAAATTACTATAAACTGCTTTGTACAAGAAGGCAAACATCAGAGATCAGGGTCTTTTGGTCTCTTAGGGATTTAGTGTTTTGCTTAAGGACACTTGATGTAAATTACCATGTTGCCTAAAGTAAATATTATCAAATCTTTAAGAATCAAAGTATCTCAAGTCCACAGTGTCTTAAGTCTTAAGGTACTGCAGGGGACATCAAAAAGTACAGCATATTTTCTAGTAAAATGCATTGATGGTACGTTTAGGGCTCAAAGTAGTGTGTTTTCTTTTCTTGCTGTTTCAGAAATGTCTCGAGACCAGCCACGACTGCTGGCTGCTTTGAAGATAGCCTCTACTGCCATTGCTAAGGTTAGAAGGGACTACTTTTGGTTGATGCCATTGCAATGGAGATAGACAAAAAATTTAACTAGCAAAGTACAAACCAATCCCCCTTTCATAGAATGCTTTCCAAGCCAAATCTTTTAGAGAACTGGTGAACCAAAAACATCGCTTTTCGTTTTTTGGTTTTCTCATCTGATGTTGTGTTAGTTGTACATACATTTTTACACTTGAGTGCCTCTGCTGTTGACAGACTAAATATTTTCTGACCAATAATTAGTAAGCAAATTTTGCAAATTCTAACAGACTGGCAGCATCGGTACTGATTTAGTACCAGGATGTATCTCTGTGGTCTGATGAAAAGCAATGCGTTGCCTTGTTTTTCTTTTTCTTATAGGAAGAGAGTGGAGTGGATGATCATGAGGCCCTGGATATGTACCAGCAGTGCTTAGGAGAACTACTGCTGACACTAGCAGGTAGGTCAACTCCTTTCTTTCCATACACGATGACTTTATCTTGTCCTTTACTGGGGTTTGCTTCTGAGCCACTCCACTGGATCCTAAGATTTGTGTGCCTTGCTCAAGGACGCCTCGACAGTAGTTGGTCACTACACAATTTAAATTGTTATAAAGTTCCACATCTGATGCTTGCATTCAGACACCATCACTTCAGACAGTAGTGGCTGTGTATGTGCACACATTTGTTATCAGAGAAATAGGATAGCAGAGACTTGGAGGAAAAGTCGTTTTGAAAGATAGACAGCATAAGGATGTATGAGTGAGCGCAAGGAGCGGACTAGGTCAGAAAATCATTTAGAGTTAAGGGTCCAGACAGAAACTGACACAGGTTGAGAAGTCACAAGGGACAAGCTGGAGAAGAGACAAACATGACTTGGTGAGACAGTGAAGATATTGAGACACTTTTGGAGTTTTAACTGGAAACAGAATGAATAGGCAAACAGAGAGAGAGAGACTCTGAGTGGGACAGTCAGACTTTGAGAGATAATGCTATAAAACAACTTGGAGAAAGTCTCAGAGATGGAAAGTGATTTGGAAAGAGCAAAAGATGAACTAACAGAGAGGAAGACAGTGGATCAGTTGATTTGGAGAGAGATGGGGGACACTTAACAAGCGACAGACAGAGGAACTCCAAAGGAGATTCCAGTGCTTCTCTCTGTGGCCTGGTGTCTATTAGGCTGAGCTCATGAGCTCATCTGGAAGATCGGCCTATTGGAAGAGTAGGGATAGAGTGATCCAGATGTGGCTTTGAGCCTGGATGAGACCCAGTGCCAGCACCCTGTGTGTGGTATGAGAGCCTGCCATCTGCTTCCCATTCAGATAACACACTTGATTTCTTTGTGTTATTACCTACTGGAAACAAACAAAAACTATTATCTCTCTAAAAGACAAGAGCTCTAGTCATCCAGCCAGTACACGTTATACTAGATACTTCATACTGGAGCCCTGCTAATTTTGTGCCTCTTGGGATGATTTATGTTTTTCTAACAAATATTCAAAGGTTTGACCTTTTATTCTTGATTGGATCTGTTTTCTTCTCTAAACCTAAAATCCTCTTTTGTATTTTTTAATGGGTCTTTATGATGAATGGCTTACAACACATTCAGTGATAGGGGAAACACTGGATTACATGAGTCCCTTAGCTGCATCAGGAGGCTTTGCAAGTTTGTGACCCCAGACTGAGCTACAGTAGCTGAATATTTGGATTGTAATACCCAGAAGAAAGAGAAAACAAAAATGGCATGAAACCAATACATTGGTATGGGAGTGTTTTTATTTAAATGTTTTAAGGAGAACTTTAATCCTGCTAGTGGATCAGTAATACACAGTGTGTTATACTGGTCCAGATAACCCCATACCAACTTCACCAGCCTCTCTCTGCATTGTGAGGGAGCCTTGCTCTGTGGCGCAGCAAACACTACTATGGGGATTGTGGGGGGAAAACATTGGTTCTTTGTTTGGCTAAGAGCTCTTTGTTGCACAGCTTCCCAACATGCCTCACCAACAGAGAGCCCTTTTCTCCTCCCCTCTCTCTTCCCTCTCCCCTCCAGGATGACTGACTGTGAAAACACTGGCCTACATTAGAACCATTTCCCCCCTCAAGCCTCCAGTCTACACACTTATGAAATCCAATCTAGTAGTTGACCTATTCTTGAGTAAACAAGGTGATTAGGTAGTGGACTCGTCCGTCCCTTCCTCTTCTCATTATTATTGTCTTTCTTTTTCTTTTTTTTTTGCCTTGGGGATCCAGCTGAGCCCCACGGTCGCAGGAGAGAGCTGCTCCATAGCGAGGTGAGTGGACAATGAAGGACTTGTGGTTGGAATGCTCATAGTAGGAATGACTATCTGATGCCTCCCTCATCGAACCCGCAGCTGATCACCAGGCTCTGAGAGCACTGTACCAGTTCCATCATATGACACTTGAACCTTCTTCCTATAATCACATGCTTGTCCTCTGTGGTAAAGGTCAAATAATGTAATGCATCTATGGCTTACATGACCACTTGTATATGAAAACAGTAACGTATAGTGGCAAGCAGAGGACTATGACCTGACTTTGTTGTTGCCCACAGCACTACGTTCAGCTAATTTTTGAAATAAATCAATAATAGTAATAATCAGCTTTAATAAACACACTAAAATCTCCCTCTATTTACCTTGTTTTGTGCTGTTGCACTAATAAGGCCTTGTGGACTAGACCAACTTGAACATACCTGAGTAACCCTAAATTTTGATGGTCCAGTAAATTTAAAGAGACAGCATAAATTAATTTATTAGTTGTAACTTTTTGGAATTAAGACCCTGAATACTAGCATTGATTGTTTACGCTGATATTTGCCACTAATGCCTCAAGCCGTTTTGATTTTATGCAATGTTTAGCCAAAGACTAAGCTTACCAGAGATGACAGCATTTTACCAGCCAACCCCAAAAGGGGGATGGGGGTTTGACTGGGCCTTATGGACCTCACTATTAGATGTTTTATGGGTGCTTGTCCAAAGCAAATTCAGATGTGGTTGTAATAATGTAAGGCGGCATTAGAGAGGCGAGGTGGGGGATCAGATCGTAAACGTGTGTATGTGAGAACCCAAAAGAGCCAACACATGCTTCAACAACTGGCCTCCATGTGTGTTCATATCTACTGCAGAACACACTGTAGCCTTTCAAAGCACAAACATTTGAGCATATACATATGAGGTCCTGTTGTTTTTGTGGCTTGGGATCTAATATAAGTGCCACGATACTTGCAAATTATCAATATGTCCCATATAGCTCACTCATTCATCTAGATTTCTTCCACATTTTTTGTATGTGGTGATTAAAGGAATAGTGATTAAAGTGCTGTGGATACATAAAATACATAAATCCCTGTGGTCAGAATGATTACTTACCAAAGCAGATTGGTGTCTCTAAGGCAAGCCATCACTTTGGGTTTGGGTCTCTTGTCATGGCCCTAAGATGTTACTGGAGAAATTCCCAAGAGGGCTTGCTTTGTACTCTGATGTAGTGGTGATATAACTAGGTAGGAGGTGCAGCCAAGAACCTTCATCATCACCAGAGGACTGGTTACCACAGTAAAGAGCACCCTCAAGCATACTGTTTGACAACAGCAGCAACTACCTGCACACACTGGGAAAACAAAAAAAGAAAGAACCAGAAGAGCAACAAGGAGTTTTAGACATGCACACGCATGTTGTACAGTGGCAAGAAAAAGTATGTGAACCTTATGGAATTTCATGGTTTTTTGCATTAATTTGTCATAAAATGTGATCTGATCGAAGTAGTGACAAATATAATATGCCTACAAAAACAACACAAAAACTTCTGGTCTTTAATGAACACACTCATTCAACTTTCAATATGGTAGTGGAAAAGCTAAGTGAACCCCTGGAATCAATAACAAATTCTTCTTGTGTGGAACAAACTCAAAAGGTTTGAGTGGTTTTTATCAGTCAAAGTAGCTCTAGTCCACACCTCCAAACTCATTTTCTTAACAAGACTCCAGGTATGCCAACACCTGACTCAATTAGCTTTTTTGATGTCATTAACTCAAGGGTACATACTTTTTCCACTAGCACTATGAGGTTTTTATGGTTGTTCTCAATAAAGACATGAAAGATCAGAATTGTTTTTGTGTTGTTATATTAGGCACATTGTATTCAACGGTACTCTTGACTTAGATGATCAAATCACATCTTATGACAAATTAATGCAGAAAACCATGAAATTCCAAAAGGTTCACATACTTTTTCTTGCTAAAATACTTGCTGTGTTTCCCATGGAGATGCTGCAGATTGCAGTAAATGCAGCTCAGAAACATACTGGAAATAAAAAAAAATAAATAAAAATTACTATTATAAAAGAGGTAATGACAGAAATGATGTATACAGTTTTTATTTTTTGGAAAACCATTTCACCTTTCCTGATATTTCCTGTACATAAAAGCCAAAACAAGATCCCCCTTTAGGTTTAACTTAATATGGTCTCATCTCAGCTTAGGGTTTTTCTTGGCACTTAGATTGTCAAACACGATGAAGGGTCTACAGCCATGCAAATGGGTCTTTGAGGTTGTACTTACAGTAGGCACAGTGACAGTGCTAACATGCTGTTTAGCTGGTATAATGTTTACCACATTCACCATCCAAGTTGGGTGTGTTGGCATGCTGCAGTTTGCTGCATGGCACTCATCACAACGTACAGCTGAGACTGATGAGAATGCCATTAGTTTAACAGGTATTGGGTGAAGAAAACTCAGGTTACCATGAAATTTCATTGCAGTCAATCAGTGAGAGATGTTTTCCTCAAAATTAACCAAAAGGCCTAAACCTGTAGTGTCAGAGTAAAAATCAGAGGATCACCAAAGCCACTAGGATTCATAGGAGCCAAGAATGCCTGTACTAAATGTCCTGGCCAGTACTTGTTGAAATATTCCAATCTGGACCAAACTGGTGGACTAGCCTATTGATATCACCATCCCTAGCATGTGTGGTAGAAAACATGTTCCAAATGAAAGTATGAGCAAACTGTGATGATGTTTTTGTGATTTTATGTCTCCCATCAGATTAAGAGCCTGATGACCAGAGCGGAATACCTCAAAAAGCATATCAAGGTAAGCATATAGTACATTACTCAGAATTTCCCGCCAGAAACTGACTTGATTTAAAAAAGATTGTGGGAAAAGTTAAGATTTCTATTTAGATACTGCTAAATTTGATGTAATCACAGTATTGAAAACATTTCTGGTGATGATGATGTTAGTTTTAGGTGATCACTTGTGTTTGTTAATTTTTCAGATGCGGGAGACTCAAAGTGACGTGTCTCTGGATCGAGAAACCTTTACAGACTCTGTCAGAAACAGTGAGTTCTCCTGATGTGTTGTTTGTTTTGAGAACTCTGCAGCCATACTGATAAGTGACTTCATGGAGATTTGGTTTGGGAAGGTGCTGGGGGTTAAGTGAGGAATAACCGCCTAAGTTGTAATGAAACGGTGTTTCATTGAAGGTTATTCCACTAGTAAAACGTGCTGGCCACCCTGCAGGACTGTCTGTCTGTGTGATTTTTATTTCAGTGCAGCCCTAGGTGACTCTATCCTCTGTCCCCTTGTAAAGTCTGCCTTGTGAAATTGAGACTTGGGGCTAGCAAAGAGTGACCTCCTAACACCCAAGCACCAGAAACAACAACAGCACACACATGTACACTTCATTCCTTTCACGTGTACTCACAGGGAACATACCTTTTACATTTTTTTTAGGAGTTGTTGTATGTTCAGTGCATATCAAACCTGAACAGTGTAACATTTTAAGATTAAACAATAAAAAAGCATTGTATCATTATTGTAAAACTGAGTGTTAGTATACTCAAACTTCTCTGTATATTATAGAAACAAAATGCTAAACTATATAAAAAGTGATGTATTATTAATATAAGTTTGTAAGTACTTGAACTTCCCTAGCTGTAACCACAACACACATGCACTAATTGCCAGTATTTTCTGGACTCAGCCCAGAAGATGGATCGTAGATACCTACAGACTAGACAATATCCTGTTCTCAGCAAGGCATTACTGGGGAATTATGAAAGA